CAACCCTCGTCATACAGGTACTCCAACGTAGTGCTAGATGACACATTGATTAGTCCGACTCAGATGTATTTGGAGAGGCTTCCCTCATCTTCTCCAGATGCAGGCACTTCTTCATTCCACTCCTCCCCATTGGACAACTATTGCCAGTTTTAGGAATTGCTACAGACTAGCCAATGCCCTAGAAATTCTCTTAGAGAAGGTAGACGAATGTGAACACAAGCTGCTTGACATCTTGCACATTTCTGTACCAGCAAGGGTGACCCTATAATCAGCTATGCTTTTCTCTAGTTGGCACATACTGTATAAAACAGTGCAGCCACGTATGCACTCATCCCTAAAGAAGAGTTTCTATGTCCCATCCAAAGGATTAGAGTCCCTGTTCTCTTATTCTCCACGAAACTCACATCCACGTGGCTTCTGAGCATTCCAAGCAACTTCCCATCTCTACTCCATCTGATAGAGATAGTAAAAGGCTAGATCTCATGGACAGAAAGGTCGTCTCCTTGGCAGGACTCCAATTTTGTATTTCAAATTACATAGCCTAGATGGCCAAATTTTAATAACTATGGGCAGTTGGCTGAGTTTGCAGATAAAGCTACCTTTGTGAGATTGAAACCAATTCCAGGAAGTTTTGAAGAAAGGCAAGTAACTTGCTATGTTCATGCTACTGATGGCTTCCTACGTCTTGGCAATCGGGGTTGTCATGAGAAATGAATCCTCCTCTACCCCATAATAGACAGCTGAGTCCTGAATATCATCCGGAGCCACTGCATAATAGAGTGTATGGCTGTGCCCCTGTCTCACCCTCCTCCTCAGTCCACCCTCACACTATGACCTCCTACAACTTAAGGCTGACTTCCTATTGCAGATGAGAGCTGTACAGTTAATCCCCAGACTTCTTTCATGGAACAGGGTTCTATTCAGGCTACTTCCTAGACCCCAAGACTAGAGGAGGAAAACCATTATTAGATCTGTGATGCCTCAGCTTCTTGATTTCTAGTCCAAGATTTTGTATGTCATATGCATAACCATCATTCCCTCCTTAGAAAAAGGCATATGGTTTATGGCTCTTTATTATTCAAGATGTCTGTTTCCGTATCAGTATGCACCTGATATATAGAAGGTTCCTAAGATTTGAGGTGAGGCCTCACCATTTTAATACAGGGTTCTACTATTTGGATTTACCACTGCTCTGTAAACATTCACAAAAGTCTTCTCAATGGTGGCAAAAAATCTCAGACATCAAGGGACCAAACAAGAGGTCCAGGAATCAGCCTCTTAACAGCTTCTACTCCTATTGATCCTGGGAGTCAGTGTTGAAAAATCAATGCAATCCCTGGAGTTCATAGGAGATCTCATAGATGTGACTTCTACCCCAGTTTATCTACCAAGGAAATGATTTCAGACAATGAAGGAACTAGTCACTTGGGTATCTTCCAGCCCTTTGGTTTTGGCCAAAATCTGTCTGTCTTGGACACATGGCAGCCTGTGCGTATGTCATGTCTTTTGCTCACCTGGGCCATCAGATTGGCTGTAGGCCTTAACATTACTATCTTTTAGGGGTTCCCTTTAACCTAATAACATACAGTATTATGCATCCCTTTAATGGTTGCAGGCAATGAAGGACAATAATCCTGGCATTCCTTGGTTGTATTGCAATAATGTGCCTTTCTTGTGTAAATCCAAAGGGGTTCAAAGCACCAGGATGCAGTCTCCTTTTCCCAAGACAGTGGGGTTATTGCCGTGGGGGGGAGAGGACCCTAATGCCTGTTATGCAAGAGCAGGTATGTGATGGGGTCTAAGCCCCCTGTTGATAGCATCGGTGTCCTGACATTCCCAGTGAAAGGTAAACCTGCTCAGATCAGGCTGCCAACAAGACTTCATCCTCCAAAGGCTAAGAAGAGCCAGGAGACAGTGACCAATCAGGAACCAGCAGTCTAGTTAAAAACACTTGCCTCCTTCTGAAGGACTCAGTTCTCAGTGCAGGATGACACTGGGACAGAGGAGGAGCTTCTCGGTGCTATGCAAAAACCCCACGGTCAAGTCTGGGACTTGCCCTCAAGCATTGCAGCTAAGAGCTTGCTTTTGAGGTTTGTTTGTTTAAAGGTGCAGACAGCCAAATTCTAAAAATGTGTGGCTTAGAGACTGATGCCAAGCATATGGCACAAGCCAGGTTGGTCTGAGCAGGTGGCCACAACTTGACAGGGAGTACCTACAAGCACAATAGTTGGCCTTGTGGGAACAATGGATCAGCCCCAATTGCGATAGAGCCACATTCAGATTGCACAGAGAATCTTAATTCAGGCATTTCCTAACTTGATAGTTTCTTTCCAGCCTTAATCTTTTTACAGCGGTTTTTTTAATGTAATTGCTTAATGTTAAAAAAAATTGAAGAAAAAAATCCAAAACGTTAGGTGGAACCAAGCTAATTGCTCATATAGGTCGTCAGCAGGTTTAGAGCTACAGCACACTCTACTATTGAATGATGAAATAACTGGCAGCGATAAAAAGCCATTATATTGTGAGTGGACCTGGCAGTAAAGGGGACGGAAAAACATTTTGTAAGTTCATTTCAAACCTGTTTGCTAGAGAACAAAGGAGATTCAAACATCAGCAGTTGTAGATTCAGTTCCAGATTCTGTGGGGAAATGTTCTGTAATCATTATAGTACCCACCTAGTCTGTCTCCTGCTCCAATTCCCCATTTTCCCAGCTCCTGCCCATCCCTCTCTTCCTGCCCTTTACCTCTTGTTCCTGCCCATCCCTCTGTTCCTCTCCTATCCCATCCTTGGATCCCACTCCTCTACTGGCTCCTAGCCCTTTTGTACCTGTTCCCTTTCTGCTCCTGTTCTGCCTCTCCTGGCTACTGTTCCTAACTTCTTTCTTTTTCAGGCTCCTATTTTCACTCCCACATGCTCCTGCACTTATCCCTCCATCCTGCATAATTACTCCTCCAATCCTCATCTCTTTGCATTCAAGGTGTGCTGCTTCCTGGGTTTCTGTGGTGGGAAGCATTGAGGACACAGGAAGAAGAAACCCCCCTTTTCTCACTTCCTGTACCAGGCACCATATTGACTCGCCAGCCTTAGGCAGCGAGTTCCATCAGCCCATGCAGCCCTGGCACCAGTAATATTCCTAGCCCAGGCTCTACCAAAACTCACTGCCTGCCTTCCACTGAGCTCTCTGCCCTCTGTATCTCCTGGCTCTGCATACTCCCCCTGCGTATCCCCTGAGCCTGACTACTGCCTGTCGGTGACTTAAAATGCCCCAACCCCTACTACCAGCACTGGCAGCACAGTGGGGTTACAGAGGCTTCCTGATGCTTGCTGTATGCGGCTGCCAGCAGTAGGGTTGCCAGATGGTTTCAACAAAAATATCGGACACACTTGACATTACATCACAATCTACATTACATCTTATTTAGAAAATACCGGACATTTCTATTCTCTCAATTTATTTCCCGAACAGAAAGCTCAAATACTGAATTGATTGGTTCAAAACCGGACACCTGGCAACCCTAGCCAGCAGTTGCATCCCCAGGGGAGGGAAATGGTGTCTCTGTGCTGAGCACAAGCCAGCAACTGCAGGGAATGAGCAGCAGGAAGCTGCTATAACTCTACTGCAGTGGCAGTGGGGGCCCAGGGGGATTTTAAATCACCTTGGGGGCAGCAGGTGGGATTGGGAGATGCAATGGGGGGGGGGGGGCGTGCACAAGGGAAACAGGCAAGCAGCAGTGCTTGGAAATCCCCACCCCTTCAGGAGCCACTGCCAAGGGGGTACCCCCAGCTAAGCATGGCACCCCATCTGCTCTCCCCACACCCACTGTGCACCCCATTTCCTCCAGAGCCTATACCTTCTCCCTCGCCTCCTACCTTGTCCTGCCCCTAAACTCCCTCCCAGAGCCTGCACCCAGGATCTCAAACCCTTGCCCCAGGCAGCCAGCTCCCAGACTCCATCCCTGAGCATGCACTCCAGATTGCCCACCTGCACCCATATTCCCTCCCATTGCCTCACCCAGATGCCCTATCTGTACATAAATCCCCCTAGAATTCCACCCCTCATCCCTCCTGCACCCAAACTCTCTCCCAGAGCCTACAGTCCCTCCTGCTGCCCAGTCCCCTGTTCCAGCCTAGAATCTGACCCAGCACCCAAATTCCTTCCCAGAGCCTCTATCCCTCCCCCACCCAAACTTCCTCTCAGAGCCTTAGGTAGGTATTGCGGGGCGGAGAGGGGGGAAAGTTTAAGTGGAGGAGGGGTGCAGGTTCTGGGCACCACCAAAATTCTTGCAAACCTGCTGCCCCTGCTGCAACTGCTGGGAGAAGTAATTGCAGAAAAAACCCTGCTCAGTACCTGCAGCTGCAAGCTGGAACTTGTTCAGTCACATTGTAGGGATAGTTCATGTGCACTCTGACTAATGTGTAGGTGCTGTGAAGGAATAGAACGTTCCCAATGCAGATGGAATCTTCAGATAATTTAGCTCTGAGCTTGATTCAGTATGTGCCAACTGAGATTTTTCAGAGGCTTATGAACTGGCCAAATTTTGTTGAGTTTTCATAGAGACAGCAAAAAGCCTTTTTCTGTAACGAGGGTAATGCACTGCTAAACTTCAAGTCCCTGCTCCAAAGTATGGAAACAAGTCTCCCATTAAGCCAGTGACAGAGATGGGAATGGAACCCCATCTCATGAGTGCCAGTTCAATGCTCTTGTCTACTAGATAATGCTGCCTTCCAAATCCTGAAAAAATTTTTAACCAGACTTTTTCAGTATACATATTGCTCTTTCTTCTTTTCTCCTGCACTGTTTGGGCAGTGCTGGGTCAGCTTTTCTTTTTATTTCTTTGATATGATGTTTCCCTTACCAGAGTGACAATAACCCTTTGTGTTTTAGCTCCATAATCCAATAGAAAAGGTCCCAAAGAATTCTCTTAAATATCTTTTATATATATGCATATGTAACTAAAATCTATAACCATTTCTGATTGTGTTTCTGTTCATCTGATAGAAGAGAGTGGTGGAACAGCTGCGGAAGAATCTGATAGTCAAGCAGGACCAGCCAGATAACAAATTTCAAATACAGCCATTGGTACAGTCAGAAAACAAACTACAAAATCCACAACAGCAGCCACTACAACAGCTACAGCAGCACCACCATCAGCAGCAGCAATCTACTGCACCCTCTCCAAACCTGATTGGATCACAGGTAAAAACATTGGAAGCCTTTCTGTGGTAAGCAGGGCAAGATGAACTTGAAATTCATCTCTGTAGCAGAGGGATGAGAATAAAGGCTAATTTAAGTCCTTGAAACAGAGTTCAAGTAGTACTTGAATGATGTGTAAGCCTTGTAATGAATGGCCCTCTCTAAAATTAATTTCCCTCTTTGTGGACATACATGTGGGGTTTGGGTCCTTATCCCTTCTTTTGCTGTCACTCCTAACCAAAGTCAAAATAAATTGTGGTTTATGATTGCTGTTATTTCTTTTAAAGCGAGGTCAGGACCTTGAAGCTCAAAGGAATGCAGGAAATACCACCTTTCTAAAAAATATTTTTTAGACAGTATATCTTCTAGTATCCAAGGGCCAAAATCATACCTTTTAAGGCATCTATATATAGTGAGCCTAAAGAAGTAGTTAAGGTCTATTATATCAGTATGACTCATCCCATACACTAGAACCATTTTCTAGTTCAACTGCATAGAAGAACAGAGGTTAAAACATAATGTATAGTACAGCAGGTCTCATGTTTATATATACGGGAGAATACACTCTTGAATCTTGAAATATAAGATTCTTTCTTTTTAAACTTCCAGGCCTACTCTTCATGTAAAGCTTCCACCTGGGACTAGGTGTTCTATGAACACATAGGTACCGATTCAATAAAATACTAACGTACCTGAAGTATTTGCTTTAGTATTTTGATGCATCAGAATATTAGTTCTTCGAGTACATGCTCATGTCAATTCCATTTTAGGTATGTGCTTGCCTATGTGCACAGTCAGAGATTTTTGCTTTGGTAGTACCATAGGTTCTGCTCATGCGTCAGTATATGGGGTACTGCCAGCCCTTCACCCTATCAGCTCCTTCTTACCCACCCATGATGGTTATTCTAAGGGCCTTATCTTGCATTACAATAGCATTAGCAGTTCTTAATAGCCTGTTGTCTGTATTTTATGTATATAATTCGTAGGTAGTTAGTTAACTAGCCATTAAATTAAATGTCACCTGTTGGTTTTGTTGCTAGAGTCACAGCTGGGACTTTGTCTCAAAGACTAGGGCATGCCCCATTCCCTGAGCTTCAAACTTTGTTCGTTATGCAATGCCAATGCCTATTGGTGATCCCCCATAGTTTGAAGTGCATGAGAGAATCCCATATAAAGGACAAGTGCAGAATTTGCGAGAACTTTTGTCCTATAACCCTGAAAGTGTGGAATATCCACTTGAAAGCCCTCCTCATGGAGGGTGCACTTCATACTTTCAGGGCTAGAAGGAAGTACCACTACAATTGGACCCCCTAACCCAGCCAGGGATCCACTTACAACTCCTGGGGACAGTAGGGCTGCGTCTACACAGCACAGTTATTTTGAAATAACTGACCTTATTTTGAAATAACAAGGTGAGTGTCTACACAGCAATTCCATTATTTCAAATGATGGCTTATTCCAACTTCTGTAAACCTCATTCCATGAGGAATAACACCTCTTCCAAAATAGCTATCTAAAATAGCTGTAATGTGGAAGCTTCACTGCTGCTATTTTGAAATGACTCCTTCCCAGGGCCATTCAGGCTAATTACTGCCCAGTGTCCCCTCTGGCTTTAAATTAGGTAGTATGTCCACATTAGCCTTAGACTAGTTTTGAGGCTTCCCTGAATCGTAGACATGCTATTTTAGAATATTTCTTCCGGAATAGCTTATTTCAAAATAAACATGAAGTGTAGACATAACCTAGGAGACTATGGCTCATTCTGGCACAATTGATGCCCAAAGCTGCCCAGGTACCTAAAGAAACATGGATTTCTGTTGACCCTAGAGACTGGCATTACATCCACATTGTGACAACAGGGCCAGTGGTCTCCTCAATGACTTTGTTGGAACCCTTGCAGTGTACTATTGATGCTGGTTCCTACTCCTATTCCTGCAAAAACTTCCCTTAAAACATTCAAAATCACATTCCACCACAATCCTGCACGTGCTCAGCCTATAGTTGAATTTCTCCGTACTGCGATCCATGTTGCCTGTGTATGACTTCATGAGCCACAAAAGCAAGGGATAAGCTGCATTTCCAAGGATCACTATTGGCATTTCAGTGCGTCCAATAATAGTTTTCTGATTTGGGCAGAAAGTTCCATCTTGCAGTTTTATGAAGAGGGAGGAGTTCCTAAAAATGTGCACACCAAGCACCTTTCCCAAACATTCCATGTTGATGTCAATAAAATGGCCTTTGTGGTCCACCAGCACCTGTAACACCATCAACAAGTACCTTTTGTGGTTTATGTACAGTCTGGCAAGGTGGTCGAGTGCCAAGATAGGAATGTGTGTTCTATCCATTGCCCCACTACAGTTAGAGAATCCATCGTGGCAACGCCCTCCAGATTTCCCAGAGTTGTGTATGTTTCCCAGAGTCACTTTCCTTCGTAGCAGAAGAGTATTGATTGTCTTGGTTACTTGGACCACAGTAGCCGCCATTGTAGATTTACCCACTCCAAATTGATTCCCAGGTAACCGGTAGATGTCTGGCATTGGAAGCTTCCACAGAACTATTGTTACTTTTTTCTCAACTGTCAGAGTGGGTTTTATTCGGATGGTGGTGTGCTTCCATGAAAGTGGTATTAAGCATGCAAATGTTTTGCAGCCACTGCTGATCGTGACATAGCTGTGTAACTATGCAGTCCCACCAGTTTGTGCTTGTCTCATAGCACCAGATCTGGTGTTCCACTGTGTCAACAGGATCCACTGCCACCAGCATCTGCCAGTCTCTCCACTCAAGTGTTTCATACATGTCTGTATTCATGGCCTCCTTGCATTGTTCCTTCCTCTAGTTGCCCTTGGCCAGTCTCTGGACATACCACAGCATAAGATGCGAGTTGTTTGCAATGATTACCACAGCACTTTGCAGCTCAATGGTGTCCATGCTTGCCCTGCTATGGCATAAATAACCATAAAAAATAGTGTGTGAAAAGATTGTTTGCGGTTGTTTTCAAGCAAGGGGGAATGGAGGAGATGGGTGCATTATGGGATCCTGATGACATGTATCCAGAACCACCTGCTACACTGTTTGTCCCATCAGGCATTGGGAACCTAACCCAGATGCAAAGGGGTGGCAGGAACTATGAGAGAGCTACCCACATTGCATCGCTGTCAGAGTCGACAGTAGCCATCCTACTGGGGATTCATTATGTCGAACTCTTGCTTGTGGTAGGGATATGCACCTTCGACTTTACAAAATTGGGTGCTAAAAATCAAATTTGGTCTTCTCATAGTGTAGACATGGCCTTATGCATTGCTTTATTCAATGTTGCAATGCCTAACTAAATATCATTTTCAAATGAGATTTAGGCATTTGGGAGCCAAGATCCTATTTACCATCAGTGAAATTTAGACTGGTTGCCTAACTCTCTTTTGAAAATGAGATTTAGGCTCCTAAATTGGTTAGGTGTTGCAGCTGAAAGCACAGTAATACTAAATACATTTAAAATTCTGGGCCTTAACATATTAATCTTGGGAATTGGTATTTGCAGCTATAGTAGAACTAGAGGCTCCAAAATTGCTGTTTCCAGGGCAGGCCAAGAGAAATCACATTGTCCAGCAACCTAGGACAAGGAAAATTCCAGTATGATCAAATGACATTTAACTCCTTACTGCCTGTTGGCCTAAATGAAAGTCAGTACATAAAATTCCAGGATGCATCCAGCCTGAGGCTAAAAATCAAAGCTGATTCCCTCCCACATTAGTTTCTTTGTAACACAGAAGTAATGATGGAGGATTTATCCACCAAGTATATAAATTTTCTAGTTACCTTCTGTAGCCTATGTTAGCTAGTTGGCTTCCTGCTGTTCTCAGGGAAGGGAAGAGTCCAAATAATTAAACTTTTGTACCTGTAACAAAAAATAAAAAATGTTGCAGACCTAGGATAACGTGTATAGATGGAGAGCAGATAGAATCAAGGATGATTTTACTCCCATTTTTACTTATCATTTCTGACTGAGCTCAAGTATAATGCAATACAAGCAGCATCCTGTCCAATGTGTAATGTTACAGACTCTTCAACTGTTTTCTGTTTCCTGTAGAAGACTATGACCACAGCTTCTATGATCACCACTAAGACACTACCTCTCGTCTTGAAAGCAGCAACTGCAACCATGCCTGCCTCTGTTGTGGGTCAAAGACCTACCATTGCCATGGTTACTGCAATCAACAGTCAGAAAGCGGTCCTCAGCACTGATGCACAGAATACACCAGTGAACCTCCAGACAACAAATAAGGTTACTGGTGCAGGAGCAGAGGCAGTCCAAATAGTGGCAAAAAACACAGTTACTTTGGTAAGCCAGAAGAAACAGTCAGTGAAGAGAGAGAGCGTGTGTGTGAGTGAATGTGGGACTGTACACCTTCGGAGCTCTATGTATTTACAAAGGAGGACTACTTACAGCTTCTTATGAACAGGCTGGTTTTGTCCCACAGAAAGAAAAATTAACTCATAACACATAGGGACGTGTAGAACCTTATTGATATTGTGAGGCTTAATTACTTGAAATGCTTTAAGATCCAAAGGAAAAATATTAATTATATATGTTAAATTTTTTATCGAATTAAGTAATGGTTGTAGTCACTTTCTGTGTAAAATACTATTACCAGCATCAGGTTCTTCCTACCTAATCTTCAGTGTTTTTTATAGTTCTGGTTTTGGAGGCTTTGAGGACTCTATTTGGTTGGTATGGATCCTTAGCTTATCTAATGTGTCAAACTTCTCTTGGGTTGTTTGCTTACTGAATCTATATAGGGTTAGGATACAGAGACATTTTACTTTCTGGATAAAGGCTGAGACATTTTACTTTCTGGATAAAGGCTGATCCAGGGCTTCATCAATAGTTAATCTTTAATTTTATTTTATAAAAGAATATCACTTTGGTGGATGTAAGCAGTCAGTATTTTGCTTCTGAATGAGGCAAATAGCTATATTTGGGGTGGATAAACCTCTTTAAGTGGAGTCTTTTCCCACCATCTGATTATCTTCCAGAAGGATTGATATATCTCTGCTCAGACCCATTCCTTGATCAATAACATACTCTGGTCCACAGAGTTGACTCTTCTTTTAATAATCACTAGTCGTGGACAGATCATGGGCAATAAACAGTCACGTACAGGTCTAAAAATATCCCTTACTAAATATAAGGTGCTGGGAGAGGGGAGGCACTCCAGTGGATGCTGCTGCTATGTGGGAGTTGTGTTGTAGCGGTCACTGCTGCTCAAAGGGAAGTAGTCCAGGTCTTGACTGGTGCTTGGGAGAGGCAGCCTTAGAGTCAGCCACTACAGAAACCATGGAGGTCTCAGAAAGTCACAGAATCCATGACTTCCATGAAAGATTCATAGGCTTACTGGTGATATGTGTTTCTAGAGTGTTTCCATCAAGGATCTCAAAACATTTTCCCACAAATTAATTAAGCTCTAGAGCACACTTGTGAAGTGTTAGTACTGGTATTTTACATAATTGGAAAGAGCAACAGAGAGGGGAAAGCCAATATTTTGAAGTGAACACTAATGTTTGTCTTAATTTTGGGTGCTCAATTGAAGGCCACTAGGAACTGCTTTTCAGAGGTGTTGGGACCACAATAGTTTCAATTGACTTCAGTTAGAATTGGGAGTGCTTAGCCCTTCTAAAAATCAAGGTCAAGGTGTGTCAATCTGGATATTCGAATTAAAAGCCACTTTTGAAAATTCAGGCCCAAGCTATTAACTCATGGCCGTGCACAGTGTCATTTATAATGCTAGAAATAGAAGACAGTTTCTGGCTTTCAGATCTTGTTATAAACTACTAGAGACACTGCTTCGTGCTTCTGTATATCATTCCACATGAGAATACAGAAGTGCTTTTACCATTTGAAGGTTCATCTGGCAGGGCAGACAAATCTGGGTTTAATTTCTATATTTTGTGAAGGCAGTTTTGACTGTTTTGACTTATAAAACAAATGCTAAAGTTCATTATCTTCAAATGAAATTGTTTTAGATGGCAGAGCCTAGTATTGTGTATATTTAGATTAAACAAATTGATGGCTAGCTTCAGTTTGCAATATAGGATGTGCAGGAACCAGAATGTAAGGCCAGCTCTTTCTTTAATGTAGTTCTAATTCAGAAACTGTTGCTTTGAGCCTTTTTTACAGTGGGGGGGGGGGGAACAGCCTAAACTGAGCATAAGGACTGAAAATACTATCCATGTGCTTGGTTTTGATGCGTAACATCAGAACTATTTTTCTCTTGTTGACCACTGTCTAACGTTTGTATAGCAGGTTCAGGCTACACCTCAGCCCATCAAAGTGCCGCAGTTCATCCCTCCTCCCAGACTCACTCCTCGTCCAAATTTTCTTCCACAGGTGAGTGCATCAAGAACAAAAAAGGTAGGAGGGAAGTTATGAAGGGATGTATTTTGTTCATTTCTAACCTTCAGGATGTATTAAATGAAACTACTAGAAGTCTAGAAGCAAAATCAGATTGTCCAAAAGGCTGCAAAATCTCTTTGGTCATCATTGCTCAATATTTGAGAGCAGGAGAAGAGAAAGAGCTAATACATCTGGGCAATAAGTAGCTTGTGGGCTGGACACAGTTTGCCAGTGTTAGGCCTTGGCAGGCCACCAGCAGCATTATTTACCTGCACATCTGCAGGTATGACTGCTCACAGCTCCTATTGGCCACAGATCGCTGTTCCCAGCCAATGGGAGCTGCGAAAAGTAGTAGCTCAGCCCATACTACTTCCCACAGCTCCCATTGGCTGAGAGTGGTGATCTGCAACCAATAGGAGCTGTAATCAGTTATGCCTGTGGATACACAGGTAAATAAAACATCTGGTGGTATGCCAGGGCTAACCCTGGTGAACCTCATCTAGCCCGAGGGCCACATAGTGCCAATCCCTGCTCTATATCATTTGCAACTGAGCAATACAGCTTTAAATTGTTTTACTTTGTACTTTTTAGAAGACACTAGTTTGGGGGTGGACAATAATTTTTTATGTGGTGTCATTCCAATAATTTGGTAAGTGGTCAAGGGCTGCACTAGTCCATGATATAGTGCGGTGTCTGGAATGGAAGTGGGGTTCAATAGGGAGTTTGGGGTAAGAGATTGGGGTGCCGAAGGGGATGTGGGATCTAGAAGTTTGGTTGGGGGGGGGGGGTTATGACCTGGGTCAGGGAACTGGGGAGCTGGAGGGGATGCAGAGTCTGGGAGGGGGTTTGGGTGCAGGAGAATATTCTAACCTTGAGAGAGGAGTACAGGGTCTGGGAAGGGGTTATGACCTGCGGCATGGGTGCAGGGGTTTGGGTTGTGACCTAGGGCAGGAAGAGGTTGGGGCCTGGGGCAGGAGATTGAGGTGACTGGGGGGTAGAGGATTGGGGTGCCAGGTCTTAGAGGGGGAAAGGGTCCATGAGGGGGGCAGAGGGTTATGGGCTGGAGGGGCTGGATGCCAGAGGCAGGCTCTGGCCAGAAGATGCTTATCTGGGTAGCTCCCAGCCAGAAGCCCAGCAGCTTCCTCAGCCAGGCTCCCTCCCTGCTCTTTATGCCTCTGAACACTGTGAGCCCAAGCGAGGGCAGAAGGGACGTTTTGCGCTTTGCCTGTCCCACAAACAGGCAGCTCCCAGTGGCCAGAAAATAGCCAATGGGAACTTCAAGTTGAGCTGTGGGTGGGGGCAGCATGCAAAGCTTCTCTCTTCTTCATAGAAAATATGGCAAAAAAACGTCTTGGCTTAACCATGAGATCTTGCATGATCTAAAAATAAAAAAGGAGTCATATAAAAAATGGAAGGTAGGACAAATTACAAAGGATTAATATAGGCAAACAATACAGGAATACAGGGGCAAGATTAGAAAGGCAAAGGCACGAAATGAGCTTAACCTAGCTACAGGCAAAAAGGAAAACAAGAAGACATTATATAAATATATTAGAAGCAAGACGAAGACCTAGGACAGGGTAGGCCCATTGCTCAGTGAGAAGGGAGAAACAGTAACAGAAAACTTGGAAATAGCAAAGATGCTTAATGACTTCTTTGTTTTGGTCTTCACCAAAAAGTCTGATGAAGGAATGCCTAACATAGCGTATGCTAGTGGGAAGGGGGTAGGTTTAGAAGATAAATAAAAAAAGAACAAGTTAAAAATCACTTAGAAAAGTTAGATATCTGCAAGTCACCAGGGCCTGATGAAATGCATCCTAGAATACTCAAGGAGCTGATAGAGGAGTTATCTGAGCCTTTAGCTATCATCTTTGGAAAATCATGGAAGATGGGAGAGATTCCAGAAGACTGGAAAAGAGCAAACATAGTGCTCATCTATAAAAAGGGAAATAAGAGCAACCCAGAAAACTGTAGACCAGTCAGTTTAACTTCTGTGCCAGGAAAGATAATGAAGCAAGTAATTAAGGAAACCATCTGCAAACACCTGGAAGATAACACAGTGATAGGGAACAGCCAGCATGGATTTGTAAAGAACAAATCATGTCAAACCAATCTGATAGCTTTCTTTGATAGGATAACGAGTCTTGTGGATAAGGGAGAAGCAGTGGATATGGTATACCTAGACTTTAGCAAGGCATTGATATGGTCTTCCATGATATTCTTATCAATAAACTAGGTAAATACAACTTAGATGGGGCTACTATAAGGTGGGTGCACACCTACTCAGAGAGTACAGTAAAACTCCATTAGTCCGGCATCCAATGCTCCGGGACTCCTGATGGTCTGGCACCATCAGGAACCCGGAAGTGTTGGGGCAGCCGGACAGGCTTTAAGGCATTGATATGGTCTTCCATGATATTCTTATCAATAAACTAGGTAAATACAACTTAGATGGGGCTACTATAAGGTGGGTGCACACCTACTCAGAGAGTACAGTAAAACTCCATTAGTCCGGCATCCAATGCTCCGGGACTCCTGATGGTCTGGCACCATCAGGAACCCGGAAGTGTTGGGGCAGCCGGACAGGCTTTCCCCATTCAGCTGCTGCTGAAACTGACCAGCAGCTGAATCGG